CTGAGTTATGCAGGCAGCCAGAGAGGATACTGAAAAATTATCTTTAAAAAAATGTGATGAGGGATATGGGAGGTGTAGTGGGTGCCATGGAAACAGGGAGGCAAACGGTCGGGGAGGAGAGCGAGGAAAAGAGCTCTGGGCTGGTTGTTCAAACCCTAAGTGAAAGAAGTCTGTGTACTCTGGGCAGACAGTGCCAAGGGCCGCAGCCCAGGAGCCCAGGGGAGCAATGTGGGGGACCACAAGCAGCCATGTCTCTGCTGTTATTTTGTGCGGGTCCACCACACTCAGTGTGTACGCACGCCCTTTAACGGAACCCTCCTCTAGACTGAGAGAAGTAGAGGCTGAGGAACACGCCTCAGGATCATTCAAAGATGAGACGCAGCCAGGCTGGGATTTGAGCCCAGGTCTTTGGGCATCGGCCCTGGTCTGCCAAGACACTCCGTTCCACTCCAGCGATGCTTTGTGGCCAGAACACTGAGGCTGGTGAGCAGTGGGGAGGAAGGCAAGAGCTGGCACAGCAACGGTGACTTTATCTCAGAGGCTCCAGTGAGCCCCTGAGGACTGCAAGCAGGTCTGGGCACTTCAGGCTCACTCTGTGCTGAGCGGGAAGCGTGCATTAGAGGGGAGGCCAAAGGGGAGGCAGGGGGACCTTGCAACTGTCCCTGCCCTGCCTCAGTGACAAATGAGGTTTTCTGGTCTGGTGTGGGGGCAGAGAGGCTGGAGGGGGGAGGGGACTCCAGGGTGGCCTCTGCCACAGATTGGACGGGGTGGGGATAAGATAGAGACAGTGAGGGAAGGAGTCCAAGGCTATCCCCTGGTTTCTCTTTTGGGAGAATTGATGAAGTGCGATATTCTTCAACAAATTATGGAAGATAAAGTAATTAGGGGAAAATGATAAATTAACTTATAGACGACTCAATTCAAAATACCTAAGCGGTATCCACAAGGAGGTGTGCTCAGTCAACTGGAACCTGAATCTCCAGGTGAGGACAGAGCTCAGGTTTGTTTACATGGTCTCCAGCCTGTGACCAGCGGAAGCCACAGGGCCAGGGCCAGGACCAGGACCCGTCTTCTCATCACTGGCATGCTCGTCAGCCGTCTGGCCTGAAGCAGACACTCAGCAGGTGTCTGATACAATTATCTTTCAACCAATTTTTTCCCAATGACTTAACCAAGGTCTCTCTTTAATAGATTTAGATCAAATTTATCAGTCAGAGTTCAAGTATCAGAAACCAACTCTTACTAACTTTTCAGGGTTTTCTAACTATTCCATAGTATGGCCACTGTGAATAATAGTACAGAGGTTCCAGAAAAACTAAAATTAGAACTATTTAGCCCTGGCCGGTGTGGCTCCGTTGGTTGGGCATGGTCCTGTGCACCGAAGGGTTACTGTTCGATTCCTGGTCAGGGCACGTGCCCAGGTTGTAGGCTCATCCCCAGTAGGGGGTGTGCAGGAGGCAGCCGACTGATGTTTCTTTCCCTTCCTCTCTCTCTAAAAGTCAATAAACTGTTCTTTTAAAAAATAGAGCTATTTACGATCCAGCCACCCCATTCCTGGGTATTTACCAAAGGAATTGGAAACAAGATAACGGGGAGATACCTGTGCCCATGTTCGTCGCAGCGTTATTCACAACGGCCAAGACATGCAAACAACCGAAGCGTTCATCCCAGATGAGTGGATGCGGAAGACCTGGTACAGCAGAACAGCACTCGCCTTGAGGGCGTTATGCTGAGTGAAATAAGCAAACAGAAAGACAGAGTCTGCAAGTGTCACTTACATGTGGAATCTTAAAAAAATGTTGAGCTCATGGAAATAGAAAGCAGAAAAGTGGTTGCCAGGTGTGGGGGGCGGGGAACAGGAAGAGGCTGGGAAAGGGCACAGACCTTCCACGGCAGATGCATCAGGCCTGAGGGTCTGATGTGAAACACGGTGACTAGTTGACAACACTGTATGTATAATTGCAGTTTGCTAAGACAGTAGAACTTAAATGTTCACACACACACTGACTAAGGTAAAACAGAAGAGAGCATTTGGGAAAGATACCAGCTGGAAGGATAGGAACCCTGGAGATTAAGTTGAGAGGAGAGGCTGCTGAAATCACAGCCAGAGTTCCCTTATCATATTGGTTTCATTGTCTTCAGGGCTCACTGTCACCACCTGCTCTCTGCCATGAATGAACGTCCCTGCAGGTACCTTGATCCAGATTTCAAATCGCCATCAAAGCGTCCTGTCAGCTGAGCCCAGGTCTGTCTGCTCCAGCCATGGGACATCTTCGCTCCCCAGAAGAGGTACACCCTGCCTTGGTCAGGACCCACCTTGGGCTCAGGCCCTAGAGGAGGAAGGTTTGGATCTTTGGTTGCCAATGCTACCAAAAGTCCACTAACCTGGAAGGATTGTGAGTCACGGCTCCAAAGAGTAGCCTTCTGTGGAATTTTTAAAATATAAATAAGGCAGAGTCCTGGCTGTCTGATAACAGTCTCTCCATGAAGCAGAGATGGATTGAAATACAATATATTCCCTCACAGCTATCATCTCCTAAAATGCTAGAAATGCCTTCCTGTTGAAGGCTTATCATAAGAAACCCGAGAGCTGGAATCTATCATATTTCTTTCTTTTTCTCCGGGACCCTGGGAGGAAGGCGCGCTGTCTCCCAGCTCGGCTGTCTCCTGTGCGTGACGGATGCTGCACACAGCAGCGAGGATCCTGTGGTTCAGGAAACTGATGTGTGAAAACAGGTTTTCAAAATTCATGCTGTCTGCATGAAAACCCAAAATGTGTTTGCCTGCCACTTTGCAGAGCCTGCTGAATTTGGCTGTGCACGGGAGTCGGATTGCCACCTATCGCTGCCGAAGCCGTCCACACACGTTACGTTAGAGAAGCCAGCTGTAGCTCCATGGTGCTCCCGCTGCATCGTAAAAAAGTAATGACCAGGTGGATGTTTAATAATTCATATTTCTTTTTGACAGACCATCAGAAGAAATAAACAAAGCCACAGGTACAGAGATACCGAGTCAGCAAAGGCACGATTCCCTTAACCCTCTGGCTTCCAGGTGGTTCACCTGTGAGGCTGTGGGTGTGCACTTGCACATTTTAGATGCTCAGCAAATAGCGGTTATGTCTGCAGCCTCCACAGAAGCCCTCGAATATGGAATTAATTGTCCTAGTTTAATTCTTAAGCATTGATGGGGCTGCATCTTCTATTGTGTCTTCAACTTTGCAGAGCTTGTGTGGGAGCGTCGCCTGACAATCTTCCTGCCCTGGGGATGCCGACCTCACGCTGCAGACCGCAGAGCAGGGCCTGGAGGATGGCTCCACATTTCAGCCCGGGGCCCTTTCAGATAAGGACCAGCACTGTGACCACTTTGCTGACGAGGAAAACTGAGGCTTCAAGATTTAGTAACTTGCTAGATCACAAGACAGCAAAGTAACTAGGGTAGGTTTCGAATCCAGGCCTGGAAGAGGCCTACACTAATCCAGCCCCAATATCCATTCACCAGCCCGCCCTGGGGAGAATGGGGCAGCGGGGTCCCCTGGACCAAAAGCCAGCTTTGCAAAACCTCTTGGAACCCCTCTCGGTTGGTTCGGCTTCCACCAGGGTCAGCACCAGGGTCGGCTGGGGCATCAGCAGGGTCAGCACCAGGGTCGGCTGGGGCATCAGCAGGGTCAGCACCAGAGTCCCCTGGGGCATCAGCAGGGTCAGCACCAGGGTCCCCCTGGGGCATCAGCAGGGTCGGCTGGGGCATCACCAGGGTCCCCTGGGGCATCAGCAGGGTCGGCTGGGGCTGGGGACCCGGAGCCGAGT